GAGCGGTTTACCCCTGAAAATACGCTTAGAAATGCATAATCGAAATATTTAGTGCCCTGTTTTGAGTAAGATAGAACCCATTTATCCTTGCAGAAATATTCTTACTTGTACTTGTAGCTTGTAGCAAAAAAATCCCAAAAATCACTAATTAAGACATTTTTTCAACAAAAATTACAAATAACTAAAAAAAGAAGCTTTCTTCAAAATATTACCAAGATAGTAAAAATATTTATTTCGATGAGATACGCCTAAAAAAATTTTAGTCGAAGCAAATAACAAAAAGTTATTTGTTAATAACAAATTCCGGCCCACTTGGAAAAGTAAAAAACTAAATTTGAACTTGAAATATATATTTATATATTTCAAAAAAATTTAAAAGAGTACACCTTTCATTTTTATTGCTGCATACCCAATATTTAAAGTTTACTTCCTTACGTGGTCAGCAAATACTTCTGGTTCATATATATATATATATATATATATATATATATATATATATATATATATATATAGGAATAAAAATTGTTTGGTGCGGTAGAAATGCAATAATTATTCGGTGTGTGCTTTGCGTGTGTAAATCGGTCGCCTAATACCCATAACCATTTTTGGATGACTCCTGTATATATCTTCATTAAAATAATCTGCCTTTATATATTTAACAGTTATAAAGCAAGTAATAAGAAAACAAATTCAAGCAACGAAACTCCAGAAAACACAAATGCAATTGTTCCTCCCTCACAAAAGTTCTTCAGAGGATGTAGTAGTTAAAGTACAATGACCGCCAGAATCCAGTATAAATAAAGCATTGTGAAACTATCTTTTTTCAGTCTGATATATATTTCGATGTGTAGGGTGAATATTATATTTTAAATTATAACTAAGATATTTGCTAGTGTAAGTAAAAGTTTGTTTTGAGTGTTCGTGCTTTAAAAAAAATGTTTTTAGATGATAGATGATAGATGCAGAAGAATGTGCTTTTCTAGTGCAAGATCATTAAAACGCCTTGATTAACTAGTAAGGCGGTTTTTATATCGTATTTGCTCATAATTAAACCCGAGGGAGTTCTAAGCGTTTTCAATAAACGCCAACGCCAAAATATGATAGGGTAACGGGTACAGTCGTTGGCCGGTCACTAGTGATTGGCCACTTTTCCAAAAATCCGAAATATTAAGATTTTCAGAAACTATAACGAAATAAATTTAATTGCATTTAAATTTGGTAATATTACTGTATATGTAGTCTAGCTATAATCTCTCTCAGTTGATATTATCTAGTTGTTACGGCGTGTGTTGTTTGAACCTTAACAGGTGCATCCAGTTTTAAGAGTTTTTTTAAAGAATTTGTTAAGGAAGGCTATTCACGTGGTGAGTTATCTTTTCTAATAGTATGTATCTGGGTATATTAATGTTTTATGGCGATTAAGTGGGGTACATCTTACATTATCAGTGGTTTTAATAGTTAAATTATGCATTTTTGGCGGTAAATTTGAGTGGCCAATCACTGTATCTTAAATATGTCCCTGTTATAATGATTGGCCTGCCGGCCAATTACTGTACCTACTTCGAATTAAAATATTTATTATAATTTAGACTTTTTTAGCCTAGTTTGGTCCAAGATAAGATATTTCAAACATTTTTTCTTATTTTTTAAGGCAATAACCAGTGGTTGGCCGACTGCCAATCATTAAACCACAAGGTGGCCAATAACTGTAATGTGTAATAAGAATATATTTTTTGCCCGGATTTGTATTTCTAAAATTACAATTTTTTTAGTTTTTTTTTAATTAATGCTAATGTGGACATATTAAATCAAATTTGGAACGTCCGTATTGTAGCTAACATTATTACTAATAAATAATTTTTATTTTAAACGTATCACCTACAATATACAGAACAAAATCTTCAGCCTGCTTTTCAGGCCATAGAAAATGACATGAGTTAACGAAAAACCGCTGAACAATTTAATGTGCCAAGAGCAACATTGCAGTTTAGAGCAAGTAAAAAAATTTAATGAAAAAACTACCCTTGGTCCCAATACTATTCTTTGTTTGGAGGAAGATAATCGTTTAAAGCATTGGATCATAACATGCCAAGACAAAGGTTTTCCAGTAAGCGTGGAAGATATACAAGACTCAGTTAAAGGTTTTCTTGACGCAAATCAACGTGCCAATCCTTTTACTGACAATGGGCCCGGAAGAGGTTGGCACATATCCTTTTTAAAGCAGTAACGGCAGCAAGTTCAGTTGTGTCTGAAAAATATGTAAAAAATGGTTCACCGGTGTTCAAGACTACTTGCATCGTAAAGGTTATATTGATATTTTTCAAAACCCTGCATGTGTTTTAAATGGCGATGAAACCTGCTTATTCTTGTGTCCCAAAAATAAACGAGTGTTGGCTGTAAAGGGAAACAAAAATGTATATAAAATAGAGCATCCGTCTAAAGTTAATTTGACGGTTATGTTTACCTTTAAAGTATCTGAAGAAATAACAGCACCAATGATCATTTACCCTTCTAATTGAATTCCTAGCAATATTTTAAAGTCCTTTCCACGAGAATGGGGCATAGGATGTAGCGATACGGATTGATTAAAAATAAAAACTGCTATGAATGCATACGAAACGTCTTATATAAGTACCTACTTGCGAAAAACACTAATTTTCCAGTTATTTTGTTCGTTGATGTACGTAAAACTCACTTAACCATTTAAACCAGAGAATTATGTTCAAAGTTACAAATTATTTTAGTGGCCTTATATCCCAATGCAATCAGAATTATACAACCTTTCAGATATTGCTGCATTTAAACCATTAAAGGCAAATTGTAACCAGGCAGTATTAAAGTTTAGACGCGAAAACCCGAAATTAGTAGTTACTAAAGAAAATTTTGCATTGGTACTAAACACAGCCATTAGTCAATCAAAATCAGATTCCATAATTAATGGCTTTAAAGCATCCAGATTGTATCTATGGAACTCTGAGGCAATAGACTATTCCAAATGTTTAGGGAAGATCAAAGACCCGCATAAAGGTATTAATCACACTATTTCTATGACAAAATCAATAACATATGAAGATTTTGTAGACACAGTTGGAGCCGCAAAAATATTAGAATTTCAGTGTTTGGATAATTGAGAACTAAGTGGAGATTCAAAAGTACTCTTTAATATATTTAATTTATTTCAAAATACCATAGATCTACCCACGATTGAGACTACAGAGATAGGTGGAATCACAAATGATATACAAGATACCTCTATCATCACAGAAACCCACATATATCTTCAGATATTACACTTAACCCTGTAGGTGGCAGTGAAATCATATGCAACTTACAAGATATTCCTGTTATTACAGAAGAACATCTACTTTCGGATTTTCCAATTTAACTTCCAGAAAACTTTGATATTACAGATAAAATAAAATATGTCACATAAGATACAATGACAGAAGATATTCAATCGACATCCAATAATCTGCCTTTAGTTAATCAAGACAACCCATTATCTAAAGAAATTGACATGTTAATCAACAAATTCTTTTTTTGGCCAAAAACCTCAGAAAGATAGGGCAAAAAGCAAACAGAAAGGTTGCCTTTCGTGCTCACTTCTTCAGATCGTCAAAATGCAGAGAGGCATAAAATTGGAAAAAAAGGCAGAACAAGAAAAAAAAATAAGAAAGAAAACAAAAGCAAATTGACGCAAAGCAAACAATAAAGGTCAAAAAATAAGGAAATCAAGATGAAAGTAATAAAAAAATTGCCACAAGAGTTAATTCCGGGAGCAAAGAATGTCAAACTGTGGTGAAGAATAAAGAAAATGTTACAGTAAATACAGTTGATATTACAGATACCAATATTTTAAAAGCAGACACACTTATTGATCATACAATTAAAAGCTCTAATAAAGTGGAGTTAGAGTACATATACCAGATATTGTTGTCCTCAAAGAAAAACAAGAATTGTTACGAAACCAATTTCCTGATTCTGTAGAGGAAAATGTTAATCTGCCCATAATTGATAACATATTTTTTGATGTCTGCAACAATATGAATTCATCAAATTTGAAGAATACATCCCAAAGCAAATGTACAAATTTGGAAACCAGCAAAGAAAAACGTGCTGGTGGGTTGGCTAAAAGAAAGTTATTTTTTGAAACTGGGGGATATCCAGAACATAAAAAAATACAAATTTTCTCAGATATAACGATGCAACAATCAGACGACACCAACCCACTTGTAAATAACCTTTTGTATACAGGATTTTGTTAATCTTGTTCTTATAATATATCTAAATCAAAAATTGGAATAAAATGTCTATTTTGTGTTAGAGGTTACCATATTGGTACTTGTGCAAAAAAACAACAAGAAATTGAAAACTTAAATAGTTTTGTGTGCCTTATCTGCACAAACAAAAAAGAAAATTAGATATTTTATGAATGGCCAATGACTGTAATTCTATATGCCAATAACTATGTTTGTATGGCCTATAACTGTGTAGTTCTGTAAGTTTTCAGATTTGTGTTTATTTTTAATATACATTATTATTTCTGATTAAAATAACCTAAGTTTTTATAAAATCTGATGTTTCATTACTATTAAAAAACCCTTGCAAAATATTTCACTTTAAAAGATACCAATTTACAAGTTTTATTCAATTATCAATTCCTTAAGTAGCCCTACTTGATTACAATTAAAGAAAACAGTAGAGAAATATATTTACGCCTGCTGTTCAAATGCAAGAGATTATTGAATGTTTGAACGGATATTCTTTGTTTTCTAGTTTTCATAAAAATAATTTAATACATTTCTCAGTACGCAAAATTCAATTTAATTTTTTTTTTTGTAAAAATTCAATAGTTGAGACAACGATATTTACATTCCTAAAAAGTTTCTTCCAAAGAGATTAATAAAAAGATTAATATAATTATACGTTTACATTGAATACGTACTAAACATATATATAAAATAGTTTATATAAGTAATTGTATTATCATTACAATTCAGGTGGCTACTGGCGCTCAGCAACAGCCTCCAGGCCTGGCTCACCCCCTATGATCGATAATGCCAGCGACGCATCTTCGATGGTACCAGTTGCTGCACCACCGAGACCCAAGAGTCGAGCAGAGATGACCATGACTGCCAGTAGGTACAACAATTTGTCCTATTGGAGAGCCAGACGAGTTATATTTTATAAAAATGGGGATCCATTCTTTCCTGGTATTGAGTTTAGGTAAGTTTAGTGATCAGATTAATTGTATTTTTTTATCAAAAAAATAAGCAGAAAATTAAGGATAATTTTTTATTTAACAAAATTCCTTTATAAAAGGTATATTAACATAAAAGCTCTATCGGGCTACATCACAGAACGTTTTCAGAATAACTAGTCTAAGATAAGTGCTATCCTAAAATAAGTATTACCACTTTAATTAAAGCAAACGTGAAAGTTAAAATTTTGACTAAGGTAATTACAAAATTGTCATTTAATACTTCTGGATTTACATGTTTGAAGCCACTAAATATGGGTAAAAACCTTTTAAATGTAGTAAGATTAACTTGGAATTACATGTTTGATATTAAAAAACTAGGATATTTAAGTTATAAATGGACCTAGTCACATGGTAAAGTAGGACTTCACTCTGCACAAGTATCTGTGAGGACTTGATAATAGCGACTGATGAAAATGACATATTAGGATGGAAGTCTGAACAAAGCAGTCAATCTAACCGGAGGTATGTGTCAAAATTATAACTTTCACGTTTGCTTTAATTGAAGTGGTAATACTTATTTTAGTATAGCACTAATGATGGAATAGTTATTCCGAAAACGTTCTGTGATGTATTTTTGTATTTTTATATTTTTTATTTATTTATAACATTTTATATTAACATAACCTTTTATAAGGGAATTTTTTACATAAAAATTTTTTGTAACACATGATATACAGCCAACTACAGGAATTCAGTTTCCTTGTGGAAAAAATTATGGATTTATGGAGGATCGTAACTTAATAAATTATTTCAACACAGATATATTAATATTACGCCTGTGCTATTTTTTTCGGCTTGAATTAACAGTGTATTGAATAGGTAAGTCAAAGTTTAGGTTGAGGACTCTAAGCCTAGACAAAAGAGAAAGATTTAGGTTAACACCCTAAGTTAAAAATAAAACCCGCTTACGGTATTAGAAATGAATCTCAGAATTGGATTGAGTTAGGGATCACAAACGACAACACAGAACTTACCAATTGGAAAAAGAAACATATACTATATACGTAGATAGTTATCACTATTTGTTTAAGTCGTGGTATAAAGAAATAATATTCAACCAAAAAAAAGGGAGATCGCAAAAGAGAGAGATAGAAAAAGCAACGAAAAAATGAATAATTGATGGATTCGACCGTTACTTGATGGAAATTCATTTTATGTAACAATAAAACACTGAAAACTTTGTTTTCAAACTTCCACAAAATTTATTTTATTTTAAAACTCATCACTACAGCTGTTTCGGCTGATTGCATTTCTCTAGTGATCTATTTTTGTCTTGGGTTTGCAAATTTATAGTCTCTAATTATATTTAATTATAAATTAATTATATTTAATTCTGTCTCAAAGCTCAAATTATATTTAATTATAAATTAATTATATTTAATTCTGTCTCTGACAGAATTAAATATAATTAAGCAAATAGCAATAAGCAACGGATACAACGAACAAACAATTAATAAAATGTTAAATCAAAAACTACACAAGAAAGCCCTGAAATTAGTATTTCCACCACCAGAGAAAAAACCCAGTACCTTCTGCTCGATTACATATACAGGCAAAATAACAACAAAAATTGCCAAACACTTAAAAAAGAAAGCAATAACACCAGCTTTCCGAACAAATAACAACCTAGGCAAATATATTAAAAATAACAAAAGCCAAAATAAAAAACACTTAAATAGTGGTGTGTACAAACTTCAATGTGGAGACTGCCCAAAAAATTACATCGCTCAAACTGGTAGAAACTTTGATAAACGAATAACAGAACATAAAAGGGTTTTCAAGAATAGAAAAACAGATTCGACATACGCTCTTCACCTTCTAGATCATAATCATTCTTTTAATGACAAATTTAAAATTCTTCACATTCAAAATAAAGGCCTTAAGCTATCTTTGTTAGAATCTATGGAAATCAACAAATTAAAAAACACAGGTATAATTCTGAATGACCAACTTGAGACAAACAGTTCTCCCCTCCTCAACCTATTTCATTAGAGACTATAAATTTGTAAACCCAAGCCAAAAATAGATCACTTGAGAAGGGAATCAGCCGAAACAGCTGTAGTGATAAGTTTTAAAATAAAATAAATTTTGTGGAAGTTTGAAAACAAAGTTTTCAGTGTTTTATTGTTACAGAAAAAATTAATATTCACAAACTTAAAGATCCGGACATAGCAAATGTATAGAGAAGGCAAATAAAAGATAAGATAATGACAGAAAACATAGGAAAATAATACATTAACCAGATATGAAATGTTTGGTGAGATAAGGGCAGAAAAAAGTATTCAGCGGTTTGATAATAAGTGCGAGATGGCAGCAAACAGCAAAAACGCAGCTTATTAAAAAAACTCTTGGAGCAGGTTATACACCGAGAAAAAAGAAATAGTATAGACGCCTTAGTCGAGAGGAAAAGCGTATTCATTAACTTAAGGAGAGAGGATATGAACAGAAAACGTTAAATAAGATACAAAGTAAATGTTAAAAATGAAACAAGAAAATACTACAAATTCCTAAATAACGGGTGTTTTTTAAACAGTAGAGTTATAGAAATGTAAGTTGGCAACAAGTTTTTAACTGTCGGCCATTTTAATGGCTGTCAAGTAGAGGTATAGAAATGTAAGTCAAGTGAATTGGTTGAAAAATGGTGTAAAACAGGGACACGCACAAGCGTGCCTCCCTTTAATATTTACTTAAAATAGGCAGTCAAGTAAATAAATAAGGACCCTAGCGGGGACATATGAACGGAATCCATTTTAACCTACGCCATATTCTTTCCCCATTTATTACCACCCTAATAATTGTTTACCACCAAACCACCCTTAAGGGAAGCGATTCTGCTGCCTCAAGGTTTAAGTTAGCAGAATTAAAGAAAAAGTTTTTGCCTATGGCATATATTGGCACCCATTTTTCATTAATTTATTTCCACCCTAAAAATGTTTCACAGTGAAACCACCCTTAAGGAGAGCGATTCTGCTAGCTTAAGGTTCAAGCTAGCAGAATTAAAAAAAAAAACTTTCTGCCTATGGCATATTTTTTTTAACCATTTTTCACTAATTTAGTACCAACCTGATAATTTTTTACCCCTAAACCTCCCCTTAATGGGAACAATTCGACTAGTTTTTACGAATTTATTACCACACTAGTAATTATTCACCCCTCAACTACCCCTTATGAGAAACCAATAATTCTGTTGGGTTAATATTTAAGGTAAAAAATCTTCTTTTACAATTTCATTCTACTTATAACTAAAATAAAAAAAGTGTTTTGTTGTTTGTATCAAACTTTGATACCCTAATAATTTTCCATCCCTAAACCAATCTTATTTGGAAACGATCCAGTTAACTTAATATTCGAGTCAGCTGAATTAAAAAAAAAACATTTATGATATACCACAAAGGTACACTTCGCTCAGTGTACCGTCAATTAAGACTGGGATCGGATATTAGATTAATACCGCCCTCTTTACTATTATTCAATTTTGGTAATAAATTATATTGCAAATATAGCGTCTCTGTACTGTTCCTGAGTGTGTTTTATGTTTTTCCTAATAGTTTTTCATTAATTTTTAATTGGTAAAAACCATTGCATATTTATTTAAACACGATCACGTCTAGAATTGATTTTCAACTCTTGAAATGCGAAAACCTGCAATTTTTTTATACCGGACGAAAAAGTTTGACTTTACGCCCCCACAATTAGAGTGCAAACTGCGGAATTTACGCCCCGTGTGTTAGGTAAAAAATATGAAGATAGCAATAAATAGTAAAAGGTTGAAGTAAAAGTACAGTCACGATGCGGTTTTACAACATGTTTTATAACTTTCTTTGATGTTTACCGACAACTGTTGGATAACATAAAACTTTCTATAATAATATAACCAGAAAAATGTTATACAACACTGTGTTTCATAACTTTATTATTTAAAATTATGTAACAAGTTACAAAACTTTGTTATTTAACATGTTTGTTACATAGTCTGGACCCGGCTTAAAAGCCGCATTTGTTATACGTAAAATTTTAACATACTCAATACCTTCAATTTTTTTTTAACGATTTCGGTTTAGTTCGATTTTGAAGAGCAACTTATAGGGACCTGGCGTTCCCTTGTATTTCATTTTATTTATAATTAAATCAGCTCCATCAAAATCAATTAGATAATTTCCAATAGAAAATTTTTCAGTTTCAAAGTCTTTGCCGAAATCACCTTTTGTGTCTTCATTGTTAGCTGTAATATAATATCTTTAGTAACGATGAAGCATAATTCTTATAAAATTGAATTATTATGTTTGGATTAGTGATCATCTGATTAAATTCTCTAAGCGTGTCCTCAAAATACCGATTAATATTCGTATTCGTTTGTCCTTCTGACTCAAAAGTTTCTTCTGGTTGTGTAGTAACATCCCTTGGAATAATATATTTATCTCCAAACATTAGTAGGTGTTTTTGACCCCCGACTAGGATACTTATACCTATTTGAAGAAGAGAACTCTAAGCGATAATTAGATTTTCGCATATTGTAGTTTTTTGGAGTACTTAACTTGATTGGTTTATAAAAACAATATTGCGGTTCTTGTTTATAAGGTGAAACAGTTTCCAGTGTGTGTTAAAGTCCATTAAGTGGCTGAGTAATTAGTTTATAATTTTTTTCTAAAGCAGACTGAGACTGTGTTATGTCATGTTAATCTATGCTAAACTACGATACTTTTTCTTTGACACTTGTCGCGACAAAAGCAGTTTTGCCCAAAATCTAAGCTTTAATTATTACAAGAAGTATAAACCCAATGTTAAAAAATATGTTTTTCTCTCTTTTACATTTTTTTTTTCAATTAATTTTATAGGTTCAAACCTGGCAGAGACATAGTTAGCTTAGAGTCTTTATTAGACAAACTCTCTCTACGTATGGATCTTCCCCGGGGTGCTAGATATATTTTTTCAATGGATGGTGACAGAAAATATAGATTAGATGAACTAGAGGACGGTGCTTCCTATGTTGTGTCTTCTTATAAAACTTTTAAGGTAAGATAAAATTTATATATAGATAATATAAAATAAAATATATTCAAGTTATTTTATTTGAAAGTAAATTACAATTTGGATGAAAGTTGCAAAAAAATTGAGGTGTAATAACATTTAAAATATAATTTTATTGAAGGAAAGAAATGATTTGTTTGGAAAGGGAAATATTTTTTTATAAATAAAAGTAAGTGAAATTAAATTCACACAATACGCAGGATCTGACGGACTTTTATCAATAAATCGCTAAATATATATATGTATATATATTCTAAAGAAAGTATATATGAAGTTAATTAAAAGGATTAGAATAAAAGGGGTCCAAGTGCAATTTATTTAATATCGACTTAAATACAGATTTGAATACCTAAAGTATAGTATTATTAATTTTAAAATGGATCTAAGTGATTTTATACATAGACTACCATCTATGGGATTTGAAAAAGTTTTATAAATAAAAGTGTAGAAACCTTCAGTTTAAAATGGATCCAAACGCAGTTGGCCCCCTTTCAACTTCCAACTTTAATTCAGTCAGTATACTTCGACTAATATGAAGTAACGTATATTATTACCTTCGATATTTATAGCTTAAATTATATATAAATGATAATTCAATTCATTTCAAAAATTTATGAAAACACTCCATAATTTTCCACTACGAAAGGCGTCCGGAAAGGAGACGTAATATCACCAAAGCTCTTCACTGCAACTCTAGAAAATATATTCGGCAAAATGATCTGGCAAAACAAAGGAATATCCATTGATGGAGAATACCTCAACCATCTAAGATTTACAGAGAACTTCGTTCTGATCTGCAAAACTATAAGAACTTATAGGCGACCTAAATGCAGCTAGCAATGAAGTTGTCCTTAAAATGACCTTGACAAATACAAAAACCATGTACAACGAGCTAGTGGATGTGCAAGATGTAAGAATAAACAACACTGCACTTGAGACTTCTTCTTCTTCTTGTGGTGCCTATCTGTTACGGATGTTGCACTTGAGACAGGAACCGAGTATGTATACCTGGGACAATTAATACATAAATCTGGTTCCTTACTTCCAGAAATCAACAGAAGAATGAAACTAACTTGGACGTCTTTTGACAGATGTGCAATTATATTTAAATCAAAGATGCCAATCCACCTGAAATAAAAAGCATTCAATCAGTGTATATCACCAATAGTGACATATGGCTGCGAAACTTGGGCATTAAAGCAAGAGGTAATATCGAAACTCAAAGTCACTCAAAGGTATGGAGCGATGCATGCTAGGTATAACAAAGAGAGATCGAAAAAGAATAGAATGGATAAGACGGATAAGATGGATAAAATCAAAGTTATTGATGTAATCCGAAGAATTAAATCTTTAAAATGGCAGTGGGCGGAACATTTACCGAGATTAACTGACAACAGGTGGTCCACTAGAATTACACCGTGGTATCAAAGTAGTAGTAAGACTTTTTAATTCAATATATAACACCGGAGTGATTCCCGCAGATTGGCTTAAATCCATCTTTATGTCAATACCTAAAAAACACAATGCGAGAAAATGCTTAGAATATCGATTAATTAGCCTAATGAGCCACACTCTTAAAATTTTTCTCAGAATACTTCACAACAGAATTAGACGCAAATGCGAAGAAGATCTTGAAGATACCCAATTTGGTTTTAGAAATGCTATGGGAACCAGGGAGGCACTTTGCGCTTAACATCCTATTACAAAATTGCCGTGACCAAAGAAAAGATGTATTTGCATGTTTCGTGGACTTCGAAAAGGCATTCGATAATGTACAGCATGTAAAATAATTGCAAATACTGAAAAATATCGGAATAGATGACAAGGATATTCGTGTCATTAAAAATTTGTACTGGAATCAAACTGCTATCGTAAAAATTGGAGATAAATACACCGATGAAATCTCCATACAACGAGGAGTCAGACAAGATTGCATTTTGTCGCCAACATTGTTCAATGTTTACTCGGACGAGTTATTTAAAAAGGCACTTGAGAGAACCATATGGAATAAAAATCAACGGGGAACTACTTAATGTGATTAAATATGCAGACGACACAGTAATTCTATCAGATAATATTGAAGGTCTTCAAATTCTGCTTTTCTGCTTCAAAATCTGCTCAAACAAAACCAAATTTTTGGTGTTTAGTCGTGACCCACATCCCGATGCAAAGCTTCAATTGAACGGAGTCCAAGTTGAGAGAGTTCACAAAATGACATATTTGGGAACTGTGATAACGGACCAACTAGATCCAGACATAGAAATAAGACGTAGAATAGCAATGACTAAAACTACTTTTATGAATATGAAGTCATTTCTTTGCAATAACCATCTCAGTTTAGAACTAAGGCAAATAATGGTTAAGTGCTATGTTTGGTCTATACTTTTGTATAGTGCAGAAGTGTGGACGCTAAAAGTATCGATCATAAACAAAATTGAAACATTGGAAATGTGGGTTCGTAGACGAATGCTGAAAATACCTTGGAGAGCAAGAAAAACTAATGAAGAAGTACTAAGGAGCGTCAACAAAGACAGAGAATTGCTAAAGACTGTTAAACATCGAAAAATGTCTTATCTGGGACATATAGTAAGGGGAAGTCGATATAAAATTTTACAACTGATCCTTAAAGGCAAAATAGAGGGCCGTAGAGGTGTAGGAAGAAAACAAGTTTCTTGGTTAAAAAACATTCGTGAATGGACTCAGATACCAAATGCAGGACAATTATTTCATATTGCAGAAGATCGAGAAGCCTTCGCAATGGTGATCGCCAACGTCGGATAAATCTAATATGGCACGCGAAGAAGAAGAAGAATCAAAGAGACGTCAAGAGACCAAGAAGATGTCCAAATTTAAGATGGGACTATGATATAAAGAAACAAGCCAGTACAACATGGCACAGAAAAGAGAATTTTAGACAATCGTAACGTAATGTTTTAAACTTGTTATCCATAGGATATTAGTATATTTATTAGTATATATTATTTAGATCCCTTCAGTCAAATTATCTGAACCAGCCTTAGAAATCAGATAATTTTTCAAAAAATCTTATAAACAAATTAAATTTCGGAAATACTATTTAACCGATCTGGCCTATCTTTTGCATCTAATTCAAACACGATAAGACTCACAAGTTCAAGTATATTTAAACCATTTTTAAAGGATAAAATAGTTATCAATATTCAAAAATAGCTTTTGAACGACTTTGTTGTTCATTTTACTGTAACTTTTTTGTTTATTCTTCTTCTTAGGGTGCCTGTCCGTCCCAAACGTTGGCGATCATTATGGCTATCATGACTTTGTTGGTTGCTATACGAAATAGCTGTGTTGAGGTCTTTCTATACCATGCTCTTAGGTTAGTAAGCCAGGATATTCTTCTCCGTCCTGGAGCCCTTTTTCCTTCAATTTTACCTTGCAAAAATGCATTGAAGTATCTCGTATCCACCTTGATTTGTCATTATATGTCTCAAGTACTGCAGGTTACGGCCCTTCACGATGTTGACCAAATCCGCAGTTGTGCTCATCCTTCACAGTACTTCTCCATTGGTGACTTTATCTGTCCATAGTATTTTCAAGATTCTTCTGTATGACCATAGTTCAAAACTTTAAAGTTTTGATGGAGTTTCCACCTTCAATGTCCACGTTTCTACTCCGTACAGAAGCACTGAGTACACATAATATTTAAGGAGCCTTATTTTTTTTCTAGGGTCAGGTGATGGCTCTTTAACACAGAAATCATAGTTAAGAATGCACTCTTTGCCTTTCCGATGCGACAATTTAATCTCTTGGGTATTGTCGCACGACTCATTGATTATAGTGCCCAAGTAGTTGTATTGAGAGACTTGTTCGATTATCATTTGGTTTACATACAGATTTGCTCCAGTTATGTTTTCCTTGCTGATGATCATTAGCTTGGTTTTGCTGGTTTTTATATCCAGTCCATATTTTCTACTTGTTTCCGTTATTTTGTTCATTCAGTTTTGCAGCCCTTCTATGGTATTGGAAAACACTATTGTATCATCTGCATACTGCAGGTTATTGAGATACCTACATCAATATCTTTTAGAGCCTCTTCAAAAATGTGCTCCGAGTACAGATTAAATATAAGTGCTGAAATTATGCACCCCTGTCTCACTCCTCTTAAGATTTTAACATAATCTGTATATTCTTCATCTATTCGCAGTACTGCTGATTGATTCCAATACAGGTTAGCTATTATTTAAAGTATTTTCCTTCAATCCCTGTACTCTTCGGCACTTCCATCATTTGTTCATATCTGACTCTATCGAAAGCCTTCTTGTAGTCAATCAGGCATGCAAAAACATTACAGCTGACATCTCTACATTTCTGAAACAATATCTGCACGCTAAATAAATTGTTTATTAACCGATTTTAATTCTTCTTTCTTCTTCAAGTGCCATTTTCGTTCCGAAGGTTGGCGATCATCAGGGCTATACGTATTTTCGAAAACTGCTGACCGAAACAATTCGTTGTTGCTACAGCTATACCATTCCAGTAGATTCTTTAGCCAGGAGTTTCGTCTTCTTCCTATGGACCTTTTTCCTGCTATTTTCCCTTGCATAATTATTCGAAGCAGTTTTCGCCTCTTGTAATGTGTCCCAAGTATTGCAGTTTTCGTTTTTTGATCGTAAATATGACTTCCTTTTCTTTATTCATTCTTCTCAATACCTCGACATTTGTGACTCTCTTGGTCCATGATATTCTCAGGATTCTGCGATACATCCACAGTTAAAATGCCTCTAATTTTTTGGTATCAATATTTTTCAACGTCCATGACTCCATTCCGTAGAACAGCACAGAAAGTACGTAACATCTCATCAGGCGAAGTTTCATTTCAAGGCTCAAATCTAGTCCGCAGAACACTCTCTTCCTGTTAGTGAATATGGATCTGGCTTTTTCTATTCCTATTTTGATTTCTGCTGAGCTATCGTTGTTTTCATTTATAAAAGTGCCTAAATATTTGTATTTGTAACTCGATCGATAATTTCATTGTGTAAATATAAATTTTGGACATTCTGTGTTGATTTCGATATTACCATAAATTTAGTTTTCTTTATGTTCAAAGATAGTCCATATTCTTCGCTGCAGTCTGCTATCTTATACACCAATGTCTGTAGCTCTTCAAGTGTTTTTGCGATCAGAACGGTGTCGTTGGCAAATCTCAGCTTGTTTAATCTAACACCATTTATTTTAATACCTACGGATCGCTCAGAGAGTGTTCTATTCATTACGTCTTCGAAATAGAGATTAAACAGGGTTGGTGACAGTATACACCCTTGTCTCACACCTCGCTTTATTTCAATTTCTTCAGTGGTATTATTCTCTACTCTCACTACTGCTTTCTGATTATAGTACATATTTGTTATTAGTCGGATGTCTCGTTTATCCAAATTCTTTTCTGTCAGGAGTCTGATTAGGTGATCATGCCGCACTGTATCAAAGGCCTTGTTGTAATCTATGAAACACATGAATACATCTTGATTTATGTCAAGACATCTTTGAGACATAACGTTCAGTGCAAACAACGCCTTTCTTGTTCCGAGTCCATTTCGGAATCCAAACTGGGTATTATTGATGTCCATTTCCAGTTTTCTGTGTACTCTAGAGTGTATAATTTTCAGGAATATTTTCAGTACATGGCTCATCAGACTGATTATACGGTAACCATTACATTGTTTGGCATTAATCTTTTTTGGTATAATAACAAAGATGGATAAAAGCCATTCTTGTGGTATTTTTCCTGATGTATAAATGCTATTGAAAAGATCAACTAAAATGTGTATCGAGTCTTTTTCTATTAGTTTAAGGATTTCCGTTGGTATTTCATCTGGACCTGGGGTTTTACCATTTTTCATTCTTTTTAGTGCGTACATTACTTCCTCTTCCGTTATTTGTGGACCTTCGTCTCCTTATATGTTACTTAGCTCAGATTGTTGTCTATCATCTGCAAAGAGTTCTTCAATATAGTTTTTCCATATCTTCAACTGTTCTTCTAGTTATCTTATTATGTTTTCCCAGGGTTTAGCCAGGGTATTTGGCTGCTTACGTTTTTGTGCACCTGCAAGTTCTTTCACTTTTTTATGTACATTAAAAATATCATGTTTTCCCTGCAATTGCTCTATTTATATTCTTTTGCTATTCTGATTTCTATTTTGATTTCTTTCTGTATTTGTTTATACCTTTGTTCGTTTTTTCCTTTCATTATTCTCCGATTGTCCATGAGAAGAAGGATCTTATCAGTTATCCATCTTTGCTTTATTTTTGGGTTTTCTTTAGTCAGAATTTTCTTCACAGGACCTGGTATCACCATTTTTACGTTTTGCCATTTTTTATCTATGTTGTTCGTTGCCTGAGATGTTTCTTTTTTATGAAGTATTTTCAAATTATTATTAATACATTTTTGCAGTTTCTCCTTTACCTCCAGGTTACATAAATGACTGACGTCTATCTGATTTACTCTTCTTTTCTGCTCCAATCTTTTTAGTTTAATACTCATTTGCGCTATTAGAGGGTTATGGTCTGAAAAGATATCTGCGCCTGAGTAAGCTTTAACGGATTTTAAGGAGTTTCTGTATCGTTCGTTTATCAGTAAAAAATCAATCTGGTTTCGAATTATTCTTTCGCCATTGTCCTGGGGTGATTTCCACGTATAAAGTCTTCTCTTTGGTAAGTTGAAGAATTTATTAGATACAATCATGTTATTCTCCTGGCAGAATTGAAGTAGTCTGTCACCTCGTTCATTTCTTTTACAGAGTCCGTATTCTCCTACATGTTTGCCACTTGTTCCTTTACCAATTTTTGAGTAAAAATCACCTAGAATTACGGTGATGTCTCGTGGTTTCGTCGATTTTAATACTTGATTGATTTCTTCGTAGAATTGTTCTATTTCGTCCTCGGATTTATCAGCAGTAGGTGCATAGATCTGTATGATATTTAGTTTACTTGTGTTTGTTTGTAGTTGGAGAAATAAGAGCCGATCTGATACTGGAGTAAAATTAATGACCGACTGCGTCATATACTTAGATACGAAAACTGCTACGCCGTGTCTGTGTTGAGTATTATTGTTTCAGGAGTAATACACCATGCCATTTGTTGTCGAAAAACTGCCAGAATTTGGCCACCTTGCCTCACTAATTCCTAGAATGTCGACATTTAATCTTTGCATTTCGTTGACTAGTATATAGTTCTTCCGCTTTTAGTGCCAATTTCTTGACCCCAGGACAAAAGAGTGCCCTTTCACTTGCATACCAACCGAAGTTGGTCAACAAGTGGGGACTGCTTATTTTGGCAGACACTCGGTCCCCAGAGCCTCGTCAATTATCTAGCAGGGTGCACCGGATGATTAAGATCAAAATCATTACACGGGCAGATGAGGTTGACACTTGGATAGGAGAGGCTTTATGTTGCGCGTCACTATCCCTTACCTCCCCGATTTGATATGATTTTAATTATCATATCCCATTTTGTTTTTTTTTGAAAAAGTTGTCTGCTGACGTCAAATTTCTAAATAGTCAAGTTTTTAAGTTATGAGCAAAATAATGAGTATAAGATTTGATTCTTTAGTTAAAAGTAGTCCCGCTAAAAAATTCATGAAGCCGTAAACGAGAGTTATTTTGCAGTATCTGATACTCTACATTTCAACTGTCAAACCCGTCTATACACTGGTGTCGAGAAAAAATATCTTAATTGGCATAGTATGGCGAACACTGTATATGTGCGATTAACAACCTAAAATATTTTATTATACACAGGAAAATATTGAACTTTGAGTTTTAAAAAAAGTTAGGCACTCGTCTTACTTGTTTAGGTTTAAACGGTTGAAACACATTAAAACTTCCTTTGAAACTGTTTATTACTTACGCGTTTCTAAACGATCTTTCAAAAACGATCTTAAAATATTTTTTAATGATTTGATTAATTTTACACTGTATTTAATAATTTCAAGTAAAAACAAAATTTTGGAATTTTCTGATTGTATAGTTGTGACTTAAAATATTTCGAAAGCTGAAAATGTATGCAAAAATATGAAAGAAAATGAGAACTGCCGCTCCTTGAAAGCAAGAATGGACCGTACCATTACTTTACGCAGCAGTCGACTTAGTCTCGTGTATTTAGCGAACTATAAATCGATTTTCAACGTAAATACCAACACAGACTGAATTCACTTTCATTTAATCTTCTAATAAGTAAATATTTGATTGTTTAAGCTGATGTCAGCTGAAAATTGCCAAAAACTTGCCAAGTTGTTTTTGTATTATGATGGCGAGAACCTTAAAAAAGAACTGTTCAACGGAACATATCAATATCAATTCAATTATTATGGCTTTGGGAACCCATGTGATTTAACCGATGCTTTTGATTGAGACTCTTTGGAAAGTCGTGTTTATTCCTAGAATTTTGTGTTAGGGCTCCTGTCGTTATGACAATCAAAGACTTAAGAAAAACAGAACAAGAACAAGATCAGAATATTCTCTATCGCGCGTTAGGATTTATTAGACAAACCCGATTTTTGTATACGGATAACTACTGCACGTTATCTTATCGTGAAATCGTCATAGAATAGATGTTCGCGTAAAATTTATCCTACATGATTTTTTAAGTACTAATATTTTTCAACCTGGTACATATCATCCATTTACTTGAATTAAATATGTACATGTACATGAATAAATACCAAAAAGGATCCTCTACTGCTTTCATCGACCAAAAAAAGCGTTTGATTTAGTGCCGCACGAATGCCTTATGGATATGTAACAATAAAACACTGAAAACTTTGTTTTCAACTTGAGAAAGACAATCAGCCGAAATAGCTGTAGTGATAAAAAGTTAAAATAAATTTTGTGGAAGTTTGAAAACAAAGGTTTTAGTGTTTTATTGTTACATAAAATAAATTTCCATCAAGTTACGGTCGAATCCATCAATTATTCTTATGGATATATTACGAATAAACAAAAGTTAATGGTAATAAAGTCAATTTTTTAAAGCAAATTATGTCAAATTGGAAGATTAAAATTCACTTCCAAATATCTGGTAAAAACAATATCGAAACTGAAAATACTCAACTGTTGTATATGTATGATTTGAAACTATTGACTTTCACTTGAAGCCACGTGGATCAGATGCTAAAAACTATATAAACCCTCTCAAACGATATTAGTACCTTAGGTCTAGACGAGTGCTTAATTTGGTATTGTTAACTGGATAAAAACGAATATAAAAATCTTAAGCAATAAAATACGAACACCCTACAAAGGCACAAAAATACCATCTTCAAAGTGTAGTTAAAAGTACGACGTTATTAGTAAGCAATTAGAAAAACATATTGCTAACTTAAGATATTATGTTTGGAAGCAGACTGAAACATCTACTTTACATTGTCGATACTGATTATAAAGAACGAAATGACTCAGTAGAAAAGATTAAATACCAAGAACTAACTTACAAGCTGGAACTTCCCCAAACTTACCATCTCCCTCATTATTAATGCGTCCCTGACAGAATGCTTGAAAACGACAATTACAAGCTATACTGGCACCGCACTGTGCTAGGAGACCAACCAGTGGCACATAATAGACCGAATCTCATACTAGTTAATACACTTAAGAGACAAACAACAATAATATATGTGGCGATACCTAACAATAATAATCTGCAAAATAACTACAATGACAAGAGCAGCAAGTACATAAATATGGAAATACGAATAATTGGACTATAAAGAATGGAAAGTACCCAGACCATACTCATTATTCTCACTAGTGATGGGCTCATGGACGTAGAAATAAAGATGAACTGGGCATGCCCTGCACTCTGTTCACCTAAATTTGAAGTCGAAAAGTTTATAGGCGCGGGGAAAGAGACCAGGTGATAGACTGTGACATTTCCCGTTTAGTCAGCGGCGTACCTTCCAATATTTGGAAGGTATTTGAAACAGTTTTTTTATTTGAATAAATAATAACTATTGGTTTGATTGCTTTTATTTTTAGTATCATAAACATATAAAATATTTCGAATAAGTGATAAACAACAAACGATGAATATTTTTAATTTTTAGTGTATAGAAATATATTTATAAAAATCAATTTAAACAAAAGGAATACACATGGAGTAAATAAAATCGCAAAGTACTTTATATAATATTTTATTTAAACTAAAATAATACACAAGCAATAAAAAGTTTAAAAAATTCTTCCCCAAATTGTTCCCAATTGTTAGTTGCAACATAAGTATGTCACGTTACACATAGCAGTAGACAGAATAAGAAAACATTTATAAACGTAACAAAACCATAAACTATTGTTTAACAAAACATACACTATAGGTTATTCCACGAATATACAACTGTTTTGGATTATTGCGTTAACGAATATTTTACTGTGCAAGTAGAAGTATGAAAGTAAATTGGTCTAAACAGTATTCCAATCAAATGGATCTACTATTGGTTTGACACTTAAACTAAAATTATTTCAGTTAATAGATGTTCAGATAGACGCAAAATTTATTGTGAAATTTAATCCAAAAATAACAAAAATGTTTACGCAAACGGTCCTACAAATAAATAGAATAAGTTCTATGAAGCCAAAATGTGTTCATAAGACATTTCGGTTGGGTTTCCGTGAAATGTAAACACCAAAGAGGCGTGCCGTGTTTCTTTGATATTACACTATTTTATTACTTTATTAGGTACTATAGGTACTACAACTGTAATAAAAAGAAATAGACTATTTTCAATATAAATGAAAAGAAATTGGTATAACATACCGGCTATTGATAGTTAAAGTACCGAGTAGTTACTGATATTAAAAAGTAACGCATATTTATATACAGTATCATATATCGCCGACTGATTTTAGTTTTAAAAACCGTCAGTATAGAGGTGTCCGGTGAAGAGAGGTGCCGTTGAGAGAGAGAGTTTAGTGTAGTGTATTTGTTTATTGAAGCCAAAAATATCGAGACGTGTTTTAGATGTAGACAACTCTATATTTAATGTACTGATGGTTAATGATAGTTTTAGGAGATTAGGAGAATAAGTAAGATTTTTTTGTTTTCTTAATAGGTACTAATTGAATATTCGACTAAATAAATTACACTATTTAACCACCTAAGTATTGTTACACTTCGTTTAAATCACTTAATTCAAAAACCAACTTGTTAACAATACTAAAATTAATGGTAGTAATTATATACTTCAAAATCTGAATTATTACAACTGATCTTTAAACTATCAACTCTATATTTATATGAGGCTATGAGTGCAGTAACGGACTAACCCCAATATTAGTAAGTGTTAGAAAATGGGTTTGAAAAAAAGGTGAAAATTAGGAGATCAACTATAACCTTGTTTAAGAATATTTTTTGGTTTGAATGAATGGAAGTATGTTATATATATATATATATATATATATATATATATATATATATATATATATATATATATATATATATATATATATATATATATATATATATATATATATATATATATATATATATATATATATGTAGTGACTTAGTGGGTATGTCAATACCTAATATTTACATGCTTGGTAAGTCTAAAGTTTATTTTTTAAACCGTATTATGTCTGTCATAAAATGGTTTTTTTTAGTGAATATATATTCGTGAAAAAGGCATGGATTTCCTGCCGAAACGTCGAAAAAAATATATAAAAATGTCTTAGTATCAAACTAAATTTTTTTTATGAACCTAAGCCAAGAGAATCCACTAAAATTATATATTTATATATATATATATATATATATATATATATATATATATATACCTATATATATATATATATATATATATATATATATATATATATATATATATAGTGTGAATAATAAAAGTAAAAAGTAATGGCATGTCTCGCAAAACAGAAAACCAAAAAATGGTATATCGATGGAAGGCAACCGTATATACGTATTTCTGACTATTGGTCGTCTTCAGTACGGTGCAGCCAAGTTAGAAAAGGAGCATATTAACTTAAGAAAGGATCACTACAGGAACAATGCAACCAATTTGCGGTATTAGAGTTAGAAGACCCTGATGGTTTCCAGGACAACAACTACACCAACCACGGAGGAAACTAACCTACCTGGGGAAAGGAATGCCAAACGTTGAAACGTTTAAAACAAATGGAAAAGGATAATGCAAGTGAATAATAAAAGTAAAAAGTAATGGCATGTCTCGCAAAACAGAAAACCAAAAATGGTAAATCGATGCAAGGCAACCGTATATATGTATTTCTGACTATTGGTCGTCTTCAGTATGGTGCAGCCAAGTTAGAAAAGGAGCATATTAACTTGGGAAAGGATCACTACAGGAGCAATGCAACCAATTTGTGGCATTAGGAATTTTGGCATTTCTTTCCCCAGGTAGCTTAGCTTCCTCCGTGGTTGGTGTTAGTTGTTGCCCTGGAAACCATCAGGGTCTTCTAACTTTACTGCCACAAATTGGTTGCATTGCTCCCGTAGTGATCCTTTCAGCTCCTTTTCTAACTTGGCTGCACCGTACTGAAGACGACCCTAAAGGTAAAAACACATGCGCTGTTGTCGAACACTCTATCAATACAGGTCACAAATTTGACTATACGAATGTTAAAATCCTACAAATATCAACTAATTATAAAACAGGCTGTTTCTGGACATGTGTTATATTACTAAAACAGATACGAATTAGCTAAGCAGCATCTACAGCAATATTCTGCAATTTATTTAAATCAATATTAATTTACGATATACCAGCTACCTTATTTTTTATATATAAAAAATATCAGAAAAATCGTCTAATCCACTATACACTTTTTGTTGTTTTATATGTATATTAACTTATTTAGAAAATTGTCAGTCTAATTGTCAAAGTGTTAAACTAATGTTATTCATGTCTCTCTTTTTGTGAACAGTTCTACCTCTGTAAGTATATATTTATGTAATTTTATCGTAATGTTGCTTATCTCTTTGTTTTAATAAATTTGTAGTATATATATATATATATATATATATATATATATATATATATATATATATATATATATATATATATATATATATAAACAACACAGTTTATTAGGGTTGCAGTCAGAATATTGGCCGGGATGTTAAAAAAACACTCTTTTGATTTTTTGTCTAGCTTTTGGAATGGTTTTATTCCTTTCTCAAGACATTGTAATAAGACAAATATGTAAATATTTAAAAAATATCACAATTCTTCAGTGTAACTTACTAGTTGTTGAGATTATTTATAAAAGCATTGACACCCAACATTTATAACACACATTAAAATATAAAATTATATACAAAATACAAGTTTTTTATATATAATAATTTTTTTATATTTAATAATATAAGTTTTTAAAATTTATGG